ACATATAGTGCACATATGTCAAAAAGAGACTAGTTTCTATATTAACACAAGAAAATCTATCTTATTATTTTATAATCATATCATATGTATCTTCATAAAACCACAGGCTTTTCTTGTTTTTATGGTATCTTAAAATATGTTTCAATTTTTCAAAAATGCATTTTTGGAGGCTCAAGAACACTGCAAATTCCTCAAAGCAAGCACCCTGGTACCTCTTTTATATGCCATGCCATATTTCTTAATTTTTGAGAATTTACATATCTAGTCAGGAATAACGATTATCTTAATTTCTATTAGTAGAAAGAGCCCAAGCCTATCAGAGTGTCTTCTTACCAATCACTGCCGCCCAGTGCTTGGACAGACCCATGGTAATAAATGGAAGAGAGACGGCACCAGCTTTCCTCAGGAGTGTGGCCAGGAGGTTAAATAAATGTGTCCATGTGTGATAAAAAGCTGATATTAACTCTGTATCTATAAAATTAATCAAAACATTTCAAATTATTAATACAAAGAAGAAAAAGAACCTTTCAAAATACAACTTACCAGAGACATTTCATTATCCTTAAAATAAGAGGTATGTATTTGTCAAATGAAGATAAATGCAATGTAGCATTATCCAAAATTTATTTCAATTCACTTCTTTTTCCCATTGCTTCTTAAAGACATCTTTCCTCCACCCTCCTATATACAAATACACATTCATAAACCCTCCTCTTATTAAAGCATACTCAACAACAGTCAAAAAGTATGACAAATTGTCCATTAAGCCATAACTTGAGAACTATATATTGGGCATATTATAAAAACATGTCATTGTTTGTTACACTTGTATAAGAGTAAGTTTTCTCTTGTTTCCTTTATCCTCTCCAGCAGCTTTGTACAGGGTTGAAAATGAAAACATAATATACCAAGGTCAAGGCAGAAAAGAAAGAATTTATTTGAAGAACCAGGAGTATTACCCAAGAAAGAAAATTATAATACAAAAGAGAATTCTGCAGCTTTGTCTATAGC